CTATGACCCGTCCATCTTGGAATACTAAATGTGTAGAAATAGCTTGTTTTAAGGGTGTGGGGTGGACAAACAAAGCATATCTTGAATACGGAGTGGTATGAGTGATTTTATGAATATGAATAACACACCTGAGTGTGAGGATCAATTTCTAGCTCTGTTGCTGTTTTATTTGGGCTGTGTCTAAGCTGAGAAACTTTAGAATGACTGAAGTCAGGCCCTGGCTCCATCACAGGACAGCAACAAGTGGTGCAACCAGTCCCATGCCTGGGTTTGCGTTGGAAAGGAAACTTGGGCAGGTGGGTTAGATGTGAGCCACAGCATCCTCTGACCAGGTGCCTTTTCTTACTGTGAAATCCAGACATGGCCTACAAGACTGTTGTCAGGTCATTTGCAGCCACAATTTTTAAAGTGACCTTGATTTCTTCAAGGCACTTCAGGAGCTATGTGCAAGGTAAAACATGACATTGGATGCACAGAAGTTCTGATAATCCACAGGCTGCTCTATTTGCAGTCCTAGAATTGGTTGTCATTTTTGAAATTGCTTTAAACTCTGAGCAACTCAGTTCCCCATGGGTCACTGAATGCAAAAGAGGAATCACAAAGTTTTCTACTTCCAGCAAGTTATCTGCAGGCATCTGACACTCACTTTAGATTTACGTGCTTCATTAAAAATCAAGTGGTAGATGATTAATCCACTTAACTGTGAACATTAGTAGGACTCAGCAACAGAGCTTTTCTGGTGATCCCATCAACTAGAGAAGCTGGGAGCTGGAATCTATACCAACGTTGTCTGAAATGTGATGCTGACACACATGAACAAACTTGGGTGCACACTGCCTTCAAAATGTGAGCAGAGGGAATCAGCAGCCTACTGAGAGCTTTAACCACTTAATGAGGAACATTCTGCATGCTAATGTATTACATACTGAACATTTTTGTAACTTTTAACTGCTCTCTTCTGGCAAAAATGGACTGAACTTTTTATTAATTCAATTTGTATTAATTTCAATTTTGAAAAAGACTGTTTTGGTGGCCCAGGAGTGTCTGTAAAACCATTCGCTCACTTAGAAAAGTGTTGTCCCTCAGGGGAAAAAAAGAAAACCCAGATGAAGAAAGATAATTTTCTTTCATCCATTGAAACAAACAAGAAACAACTATTTTTTAAAAACTTTTAAGAAATGAGAAAAGGATCCTGATTATTTGGATCTTATTTGAAGACTTTTTTTCAACTTTTTTTCCAAAGTTTCAAGCCATGTGCTTGGGCCACAATCTTTGGTTTAAAAAAAGGGGTCGATGAAGCTGTTTTCCTGTATACCAAGGCTGAATTTGTCTTGCAACTAGTCAAAACCTAAGTTTTCAGAACTTCTCACGGTGAAAGGTTGCAAATGATTCAAACAAAAAATTGTCTCTTGCTGTGACCTTTCTGAAATGACGATCAGGCTAACTCCTTTTAGATTTGTGTGCTTCATTAAAAAAAAACCCACACAAAAGTTGTGTATGGTACCCCAATTATTGTGAACCTTAAGAGGACTGAGAAATAGAACTTGGTTGGTCCCATCCACCAGAGAATCTGGGAGTTTGGATCTGTACCGACTTTGTCTGAAATGTGGTGCTTGCCCACATAAACAAAAATGTGTGTGTTTTTAGAGACTCATTACCTTCAAAATGAGAGAAGATGGAACTAGGACGAAGCAGAAGGAAAGCATAAAGTGAGGCTAGCACATGACTTAATTTCATTTCTATCATTACAACTATTTGTGAAAAACATGCTAGAGTCTTTTCAACACATTGCCTAGTATTATGTAATATAATACTAAGGAAGTATCTTCGTTAATGTAAAGTAAATCCCTAAGCATTTTTCTTTGACTGATAAAATGTTCCTTCTTGCATTGGCCACTGCATTTTCTTCTTGCATGTTCTCTGAACCCTTTGACTATTGCAATAACATTGTAGGTCTTCTTGTGTATGAGGTTTCATCGTGCTAGGTGCTGTGCAAGCTCTATCCAGAATGTCCTGATCCAAGGAGTTTACAGTTTAAAACAAAATGCAACAAGAGATAAAAGGAATGAGTGTCTTTGCTCAAAATCAGTGATGTATGTGCTATTGTGTGCATGGTGAAACATGTACATCTCATTGTTTTACATTGCTATGAATGGAAATTGCAGGATTATCAAGAAATCTGTCACCAGATTAATAGCTTTTTCTTGCCTTTCTTTGTTCTAACCTCTGAAAGATGATTGCCTTTAGGATAAAAGAGTAGGATACTCAGCGGATTTTGGAAATGACTGTCTTTTTCCTTTAGGGACAATAAAGCACTGTTGAATGTAGGTGCACAGTTAAAAATTTCGATCTGCTTTGCCAAGTGCCGAGTGCCAAGTGCACTGTGGCCTTTCACAGTGCCAATGTTGAGCAAAACAGTAATAAATAGCTTGTCAGGCAATTCTACCTGTAGTTAATCCCTTGGTATTTGGCATTTTTTTAGAAAGGATCTGGACTCTCTTTCTGAAATACAGCCCAGAAACTGGTGCTAATTATTTACATACTATTAGATTCAGTGCACTGTTGAATGCACAGTTAATCCTTATTGTATCTGAGTTATTGGTAAATTTTAGTTTGGCTAGGTTGAACGTAATTTTATGTTCTTTTCAGACAAAAAATGTTCACAGTTGTCTGAAATCATCAAAGTGTTGCTGTTAAAGAGGTTGCTCAATATTTTATTTATTAGAAGTTCCTGCCAGATTGCAAACTACAGTGCTGACTTAGCTTCAGTGATCCTCAACCTCCACAGATTTGTTTGCTTTTTCCCTCCTTCACTGTGTAGAAAGATGCTGGAGGATGCTCTAGGGGCCTACCAAGGGTCATTCTTATCTCACCAGTGGCTTAGAGTCTGATAAATTCTCTATCCGTGTTATGGAGAGGTTTTGCAAAGATCTGCTGAGATTAATTCACTTAGGTTATATAAATCTGGTTGTATTTGCTGACTCTAGTTGTCTCACACAAGACTGAGGCTTTTTTGTGTATGTTGGTGTCAGGTGCCAGAAATAAGTGAGCTATGAATGCACAGCAATTTTGTAGTTCTGCTGGTTTTGGCTGGGGTAGAGTTGATTTTCTTCAGAGTAGCTAGGATGGGGCTGTGTTTTGGATTTGTGCTGAAAACAGTGTTGATAATAGAGGGATGTTTTAGCTATTGCTGAGCAGTGCTTACACAGGGTCAGGGTCTTTTCTGCTTCGCTCCCCACCCCACCAGTGAGCAGGCTGGGGGTGCACAAGGAGTTGGGAGGGGACACAGCCGGGACAGCTGACCCCAACTGACCAAAGGGACATTCCATACCATGTGACGTCATGCTCAGCAATATAAAGCTGGGGGAAGAAGAAGGAAGGGGGGATGTTTGGAGTGATGGCGTTTGTCTTCCCAAGTAACCGTTACGCGTGATGGAGCCCTGCTTTCCTGGAGATGGCTGAACACCTGCCTGCTGATGGGAAGTAGTGAATGAATTCCTTGTTTTGCTTTGCTTGCGTGCGCGGCTTTTGCTTTACCTATTAAACTGTCTGTATCTGAATCCACAAGTTTTCTCACTCTTACCTTTCCGATCCTCTCCCCCATCCCACCAGGGGGGTGTGAGCCAGTGGCTGTGTGGTGCACAGTTGCTGGCTGGGTTTAAACCACGACAATAGTTAAGGCAAAGGCAGAAAAGCCTGTTCGGTAAAAATCAGCCAGACAGTGTAAGATTATTTGCTTAACTCGTGACTAGAAGTTCAGACTGGATGATAAGTGTTCAGTTCAGTTCCTGAGTCAGTCCTTTCTGAAAGATAACAGATTTAGAGCATTTGTAATTGAGGGGCTTGGTGTAATAACTTTGTTTCATTGATTGAGGAAAGGAAGCCATAAACAAGCTGTAAATCTGTTATATAGGTAGATATATGGTGGTTTTTGATAGGTAGATAGATAGATCTTGTGAGTCTGAACATAATAAGTTTGCCAGGCCGGCATTGCAAATTTAAACTTGTTTCTCAGAACAAAAGCAATTCTCTCTACCTGTTGTAAAGACAACATTTTGTTGCCTAACTAATGATGTTCTGTGTTAGAAAAATGCAACCATTCAGTATTGTGCCAGCCCAAATGAATTCCTGTGGCACACAATACTAAATCTGAGTGCTAATACTAAATTCGGTGATTGATACCTGAAGTACACAAAAATCAGTTTTGCCACAATGTTGCAGCCTGGATTAAAGTGACATAACAGAGGCGTTCTTGCTTATGGCTGCTATTCTGTCTCCCTTGTAACTAGATTTTTTCAATGAGATTCAAGATTTTGGTGTGGTAACATATCAGCATCTTGCTGCCACATTTTCTCTTGCCTGTACCACTGGAACCCGGACTGTAAGCTGCTGTTTCCAGTAGAGAATATAATATTTTTTTCTACTTGCTGGGCTTCTTTAAGGTACTCAGTTTCAGGTTAGGAATTAACGGATTAAAAGAGTGATACCCTGAGTGATTTGTAAGTAGTATTAAGGGAAACATAAAATACATTAAGTTTATTTACTAAAATCAATAATATTAAAAAGGATGAAGAGCCTGCCTCAAGCTTTGAGATCCCTATCATATGTTTTTGTTTTACTAGCAAGTAACAGTTTGAAATTATAAAAATCAAAAGCCAAAAGAGTTAGTAATTTGCTGCCATTTTGAAAGAAATGTGTTTCTTTCCTGATATTACACAATGGCAAAATTTCAAGCTACTAGATATGTGAGGAAGCACATAGGCACTAGATATTTTCAAAAACCTGTTTAGACATCTTTTGTCTCTTTGGACCCTAACACCTTTGAAAATCTTCAAGTCTTCAGCGAGATTTTTCCAGGATAACACTGGCTATAAATTGTCTATTAAGCTGAAAATCCAGAATAATAAACACATTGATAACATGTTATAAATCCTGGCTCAGGGAGGGATTTAAACAGATAATCTCTTCGTGTACCTAACCATTGCTGTTGGAGTGCTAACATGGTGGTAATTGTCACTTAAAAGAAGTTAACCATTGTAGCAAAAGAACAACTGCCCTCAAAACACCTTTTCATTTGGTGCATCTTACTGGGTGTAAGAAAGTTTATCTCTCCCTCCAGCTGTTTGGCTCAGTGTTAATTTTTATGAGATCCTGTCCTGGACATTCTCTTTTCTTCAATGCTTGACTGTGATGACTGAGTTGAAGATCAGGCAGTAAATGTTTTTTAAGTCCTTTTAAAAGGACTTAAATCCTCTGTGAGGGCTGTCTCCCGGTTATTTAACTATATTTTATCTACTCATGTGCCTCTACTAGAACTGAATTTGTACTTCCCTATTTGTTCAGATTGTCATGGATATGTAAATTTGATAGCAGGATTGTGGATCCTAACACACTGGCAAAGCTCTGTCACCGCAGTGAGAGAGGTTCTGCTAGGTTTACTCTTAGTCCTGCCTAAGAGATAGATGACTACGAACATAACAGGCTGTGCAACCAACTCTACTTGTAACGCGGAAGGCATTTTCAGTAAATAGCCTGTGTTTATGAATCACTGAAAATCCAAAGGAAACCTGGTGTTTGGATCTGTTCCTGGGACCCTCTGAGGTGCTCTTCAGGCCAGGTGTGAATTTCTGAACCATAATCTCAAGACCTTTAGGGTCAGCCCCATTTTCCACTATGTGAGAGGTGGACAGCCTCAAATCTTGCTGTGGTTGGTGTGTATGGGGGCTGTTTGTAAGGTACCTTGACAACTGAATGGAATTCAGATGATTTATCACAGATTAAAGAATTTGTTGCCACTTTCTGAATGAGTTGCAGCCTGTCATGGTATCCATCACCAAGACTTTTCCTGCTCCCAGACTCCTGGCCTACATGAGAGAGCTGTCTGCTGCTCTCTTCTGGCTTAGATGCAGAGTTTTATGCATACGAATTTGTGAATCATTTGGGGATGAATCAGTAGAAGATTTGTAATGTCACTGACATTGTTAGTATTAATGTGAAGAGCTGTGTGGTTCTGATGTCTCTTTTCCCTCTTTTTGTTTCAGTTCATTGCCTTTGCCTCTTTATTCTTCATCCTAGTTTCAATCACAACCTTTTGCCTGGAAACACATGAAGCTTTCAATACTATTATAAACAAAACTGAGCAGGTCATCAACGGGACAGAAACTGTGCTACAGTATGAAATTGAGACAGATCCTGCCCTGACGTACGTGGAAGGAGTCTGTGTGGTATGGTTTACATTTGAATTTTTAGTACGTGTTGTTTTTTCCCCCAACAAACTTGAATTCATCAAAAACCTCTTGAATATCATTGACTTTGTGGCTATCCTGCCCTTTTACCTAGAAGTGGGCCTGAGCGGGCTCTCCTCCAAAGCTGCTAAGGACGTGCTCGGTTTCCTCAGGGTGGTAAGGTTCGTGAGGATCCTGCGAATCTTCAAGCTCACCCGGCACTTTGTGGGCCTCAGGGTGCTGGGCCACACTCTGCGAGCCAGCACCAATGAATTTTTGCTGCTGATAATATTCCTGGCACTCGGTGTTTTGATATTTGCCACCATGATCTACTACGCAGAGCGGGTGGGAGCCCAGCCTAATGACCCGTCAGCGAGTGAGCACACACAGTTCAAAAATATCCCTATTGGCTTCTGGTGGGCAGTAGTCACCATGACCACCCTGGGATACGGGGATATGTATCCACGGACTTGGTCAGGCATGCTGGTGGGAGCCCTGTGCGCGCTGGCGGGGGTGCTCACCATAGCCATGCCTGTGCCTGTGATAGTTAACAATTTTGGGATGTACTACTCCCTGGCCATGGCAAAGCAGAAACTGCCGAGGAAGCGGAAGAAGCACATCCCTCCTGCTCCTCAAGCCAGCTCGCCCACCTTCTGCAAGACAGACTTGAACATGGCCTGCAATAGCACACAGGGTGACATCTGCCTGGGCAAGGACAACCAGCTGATGGAGCACAACAGATCATCAGGTAGGACCCCACTGGAAATGCATGTCCTCTGAAAACACTTTATAGACCAGTATGTTTGGTAGGGGTCAGAAAGCAGCCAGTCTTTCTGCCAGGAGAAGACGTAGCTCCCACCCTTCTCCCCTCCAGTGTTTGTGTGTGTCAGTCTCACAGAGGACAAAATAGGTATAGCGATGTTCCCAAACCTCTATGTAGCTGGTCTATACAGTTTTGCTTGCTCTGTTGAGAATGCTTTCCTGCTG